GCAATTTGTTGCCGGTTAGAAACTGATAAATTTCTGTTTATGACTTTTTTATGTCAGATTATTGTAAGTGCTTTAAAAATCGTGGCGACCGTTACGAGGACCACCCTGTATATTAAGGGATCAAAGACAAAAGATTGTTTAAAAATCCTGGTTTTTATTACAGCCAATGCCAGGCAAACATACACTTCTCGCTCAACTGGATCGTTACTCCAAGGAGTTTATTATAGCCCGCATGAAGCTTTTGCATATATTCCTGAACAGAGTGGTGAATCATCCTATTCTCAGTTGTGACAAGAATTTCCATATTTTTCTCACTACTAAACCTGCAGTAAGTATAAACTTAATGTAGCAATGTGTGCTCTACTATAGTCCATAAATTATGATTATTGTATGCAGGAATTTCTCATTTATCGTAAAAATCGTGGAAATGTGCTCGGAAAAATGACCGATTCTTTGCAAAACATAGCAAGTACGTATACAATGAAACAGCATCATTTGGAATTTGAGCAAATTCGGGACTATTGTACAGCGTTGAGCGAAAAACTGTCGGCCATAGATAAAATCAATCATCGCATACACAAGGAAAGGCAAGGTGTGTAAACTGAAACTGTTTTATATAATAATAAATAAATGTCATCTTAATAAAACCTAGCTTTTAGCGGTTTCTTTTCATGTTTTACATTGTAATGTAATAGATTATTTATTGGAGCTTCATCAGTTACATCCCATATTCACATTGTGGGCAACCTCAGAACCGGAACTCGCGGCTATTCTTTTGGCAATCGCTAAGGCAGTAGAAACGAACGCGATAGCTCATCAGAAACTTCTGGAAAATGTTCCAAATGATGAACGCGAATACGTCTCGTATATAGAAGCGGTCAAGAACGCATTGTCTCGACGTGATTCGATGCAGATTGAATATGAGATAACCGTTGATGTATTAGCAAAGAAGAGATTAGAAAAGGATCAGGTACTAACCTTGTGTATATATTTTATTTTTTAATCTCTTTAATTTTTTTTTTTTAATCAAAGCAATTGCATTTCATTCATGCAGTTGGTAGGAAATACAAACTACACAATACCTACCCAAGGCTGGGGTGGATCTTTATGGAAAGCAGAATCTCGTGATGAAAAATTGGAGAGACTCGGCCAAACCATTCCGCGATTAGCCAAGCAAGCGGAAATACTGCAGGATCGCGTGGAATGTGCAAACGAGAATCTGCGAAGCGATTTGCAAAGATGGAACGTAGAGAAACAACAGGATATAAAGAATATGCTAATCGCGATGGCGGATCGACATATCAAACATTATCAACAGTGCATGAACGCGTGGGAAGAAATTCTCGCCGGCCTTAAATTGGACGGGATTGGATCTGATACTAACGTAGGTCCGCCTGTTAAGATACCTATTTAAATTGCTAGTCTTTCTTCGCTACCCTAAAAAAAAAAAAACAATATAGAATAAATATTCGTTACACGTAGAAAGATAATAACACACCAATTCAAGAGAATCTCTATTATTAAATAATGACAAAAAGTTTATTGCAAATCCAAAGAACAATCTATCGTCAGCTTCAATATCATTACTTCTAAAATCGAATCATTTCTTCGGAATCTCAAGAAGATTACCACACAGTTATTGTAATTATTTAATAATGGCGGAATTGCAATGAACGCGTTTGATGATAATAAAAATCGCGTATTTATGTATGTACATATAATACGCTAATATCAAAACTCTATTTGGAAAACTCGCCTTTATGATACAATATTCTTGTGATAATGTGAAAAATTAAGTATATAACGCGTTTGGTCCTATATACATGTATGTGAGGGAGCAAGTTTTTTCAGTATATATCATGTACAGAAAGATTTTCCAATGTTTCCTCTTTTTTTAGAGGTTTAGATCATGAATTATAATTTTGGGGACCAAGCATCGCGCGAGCCGATATTATCGCCATTACCGTTTCTTTCTCTTTCCTACTTTGAATTACATTACAATATATTTATTGACAATCAGTTTAGCCTATATCTACTACTTACCAAAGTACAGTTACCATGATAGCGTAGAAATAGCGTTAATGTCAGAGTGTATGTATATATACACACTACAGCACTGATAAATTTTACAAATCGCGAAGCAAAATACTTGCATCAACTTCGTTGTATCATTAATTAGTACCATACTCTAAGGAAGGTATCTTTAACAAGGGGAACACCAGACGTGGCTCAGATTTTAGTGTAACATATATTACAATCCTATCTTCCCACTAATCCATGATAAAATAATACGACCCAACTTTCAAGCATTTGCAAGAAAAAGACATCTAAAAATTTACGTGGTCTCTACAGAGCAAGTTATAAGAACGTTTTTCTCGCGAATGCTTGAGAGTTGGGTCGTATTATTTTTACTACGGATTAGTAGGATTAGGAGAGTAGGATTATTATAATATGTCAGACTCTGTAAAATTGGAGGGGCCCTTGTCTGATGTTCTTCTTATAAGTTATGAACAAGTCACTTAATCGTCACGCTCTTGACATTACGGAAAAGAAACGTAGTGAGAATTCTATATATGGCGCTTATATATTCCTCTCCCTGTGTCTGTTATTTATGCTTGAAAAGAAGATACTCTTTGTTATTTGTCATAAGTAAAACGCGAAATACATTCCTATTTACATTATATGCCGTGGATAGGCGCAAATCGGCAAAAACGGCGAAATTTGTATCAATAAATAAATTATTGTTTGCAATGAAGTGCGATGGCTTCTGTATCTTCCTCACTCTATTAAGGCGTCGTTCGTCGGCGTTAGGTAGAACTGCACCAGATTGTCCAAATCGGTGAGCTTGGTGATAGATTCGCCTGCAATTGATTCTATGTGAGAAGTGTCTCTAGAAATGAATAAGTTTTTCTAATAACAAAGATACTAACCCGCTAAACTTATCTCGTTGTGCAGAAAACGTACGGTATGTGCGTACGGTTGTTGAATCTTTTCACGTAACTGCGTAGCCAAACGACGCGTTGGATTCCACAACTGGCTACGAAAATTCGGTACATTTGTAAGGGTCGGCTTCCAGGATTCCGGCTTCACCTCCTCCATCGGCAACACATCCGTTATTCTGTACTGGCTCGTCTCGATGTTCCACGTGAACTTACATCCAACTTCGTATTGCTTTCTCTCTTGCGTACTGTTGAAAGCGTTACATCAATTTATCAAGATTGTATTATAATTTTATAACGACACTTTAGAACAGAGCTCGGATTTAGTTACACATGTCGGCCCGATTCCGTGGCTCACGCCTATTGCCCCCCACTCACCGCTCACCGCTCGTGCGTCTTCACCTCCTCCATCGGCAACACATCCGTTATTCTGTACTGGCTCGTCTCGATGTTCCACGTGAACTTACATCCAACTTCGTATTGCTTTCTCTCTTGCGTACTGTTGAAAGCGTTACATCAATTTATCAAGATTGTATTATAATTTTATAACGACACTTTAGAACAGAGCTCGGATTTAGTTGCACATGTCGGCCCGTGGCTCACGCCTATTGCCCCCCACTCACCGCTCACCGCTCGTGCGTTAGCGACGAGTCGCCAGATACGCGTAACTAAGGAGCGCGACGCTTTGTCTCAGGAGCGTCCGTATATAAGAATGTCCAAATATAATAGTAAGACAATTCATTTCTAAATGCACCGCGAAAATTCTCAAAATTAAGATTTTCTTCAATATTTTATATCAATGAAATATAAAATATTGAAGAAAAACTTAATTTTGAGAATTTTCGCGGTGCATTTAGAAATGTATTGTCTTACTATTATATTTGGACATTCTTATATACGGACGCTCCTGAGACAAAGCGTCGCGCTCCTTAGTTACGCGTATCTGGCGACTCGTCGCTAACGTATAAGCGGTGAGTGGGGACAATAGGCGTGAGCCACTGAATCGGGCCGAAATGTGCAACTAAATCCGAGCACTGCTTTAGAACATTATAATGTGCGACAGTTTGCATAAAGTATTACATGATTAATATACAGGATGTCCCTAACTACCCGATACAGGCCTTTTAAGAAAGAAGTGGATTTTATTAAAAATTGGAAAAATTTCGATGACTAAATCGGGTGCGCTCTATTGTATGATGATATTTCCAACTTCCGGTGCCGACCGGAAATGGGCTATCCAGACTGAAAGTCGAATTTTTTAAATGGAACATGGCACTTTTTATTGCAGGTTCAGATTACCCGGCAAAAAATAAGAAATTTCTGTCTCAAACATTTTTTTCTGAAATGCCTCCATCGACGTTGAAATGATACACGCTATCTCGCCTAGAAATGCAGTTAAAATTTACTTTTTCATTACACTTTCAAGATTATTTCCAGATTATTAATAAATGTTTAATCCCTTATGTTAATAAAGTTTATTAACCATGTTATTACAATTTATTATTTTATGATTATGTTATTAAATAATAACAAATTTATTAAAATTGTTTATTCATTTATGTAAATAAAATTGTTTATGTTCATGTGTAATCAAAATTTGCAACAAAAAGGGCCATGTTCCATTTAAAAAATTCAACTTTCGGTCTGGATAGCCCATTTCCGGTCGGCATCGAAAGTTAAAAATATCATTATACAGGATGTTCCCGGGTTAAATGGTCAAACTTGAAATATGAATTTAGGACCTTAAAACAAGAAAAAATTTTCCTCTGGAAGTATGCTCGCAAACGCTTCGTTCAAGAGATATTGACTTCTGAAGTTATGAACTATAGGAACAAATAATTTCAAAATGTTTCGTTTTATTTTTGTTTTGAAGATCGAAGGTCATTGACAGGCTTGTGTTTGCATTGTAAACAAAACGGAGGATCACTAAAACGGAGGATAGTGCAAGCATGCGAAGAAATGACAGATGTACAATGTCAATCAGCCACTCATTCTGTCATCGATAGGTGCAACGCTTGTCTCCGAGCTGGAGGCCATCATTTTGAACAAAACATTTAATTATTAAATTTTGATTATTGTACAGCAATAAATAGAATAAACCTAGATTATTTCGAAATTATTCGTTTCTATAGTTCATAACTTCAGAAGTCAATATCTCTTGAACGAAGCGTTTGCGAGCATACATCCAGAGGAAAATTTTTTCTTGTTTTAAGGTCCTAAATTCATATTTCAAGTTTGGCCATTTAACCCGGGAACACCCTGTATAATAAAGCGTATCTGATTTAGTCATCGACATTTTTGCGATTTTTGATAAAATCCACTTCCCTTTTTCTTAAAAAGCCTGTACGGGCCTGTTCCTGTATAATATTCATAGAATGGAAGAATAGCTTGTGTGCTTACCATTGCGTTTGGCTGCATAACTCACTTGCCTGGATCTTCATTATATGCAAACATATAATGTCGCCAGTAAGCGCACATACATCGATCATTTCGATATCATAGTCGCTGCAATGCCAATACTTTTTCTTGAATCTCGTGCAAATCCAATCCGCTATATGGTGAGAGAAAGTCTCGATATCGAAACTCAATTGAGTTATAGAGACACACGGTACTATCTGAAAGTATTATTATATCATACATATATA